CCGCCTACCCCTTCCCCCAGTTAAGTTAAAAAAAATTTTCTTCAGATCCTTACCTTATTAAGATAAAATAAGGAAACAGGGCCTTCTTAATGCATCGATAAACTCATTTCTGCGCAAATTTTTTGCCTCCTCCCTCCAGTTAAGTTTAAAAAAATTTTCTTCTGATTTTTACCTTATCAAGAAAAAATGAGAAAACATGAAGCATAACCTGTAAATGATCGGCTTCTTGCGCGCTTTTCTTATTTTTCTTCTCGAAATGTTGCCGGACCCGAGCCAGTTGCGGATTTTCACTTCCGCCCTCCATGCTGCTTGTCATCGACAAAAAATCGTCCACATCCGCTTAAATAAAAAAACAAATAGTACGCCGCTTTTTCGCAGAAAAATAGAACTAAACTGAACTGCAGTTGCGAAGAGAAGAAGATAAAAATTACCTTCACGAGCAAGCGAAATCCGCGATAGGCGCTCCTTGATCTGTTCGATTTTACGCTCAATTTTTGTGCGCTCATCCAGGCCAACATCATCGAGGCCTCCGCTGTACGATGCCCCACCATCGGATGAGCGCAAACTGCCACCACCGCCGCCTCGCCACGAGCTATCCGACTGTAACACTTTGTTAATCGCTACTGTCCGTACAAATTGAGAAAAAAAAAAAGCAGGATCAGCTCATCGGGCCACACGTCACGATGATATCGAGCGCTCAAGACATACGGCAGCCCCCGGTGGCGCTTTATTGTTATGTGTGATATATAAAATATCCGTAATTTATATTTTAAAGCAACATTTATAATCATTGGCAACGCACACTGGGCGGGCCCGTGCAATCATGCGTTTTGCAGTGTTTCGTGCTGTAATAAGATCACTCGAAATTCCGCTAGCTAGAAAGCTCTTGTACATACGGGTCCTCGAATTTCGGGAAGTTAATTATCCACGCTATAATTGGACAGGGAACATCCCCTTGAAGGCCCAGGTTCCCAGCTTTTTCAGTTCCCGAGTTACCCAAATTCCAACCAGAAAATTTCATGGGCCGTACGTAATAACCATGCATAACGAGGGGCTGAATTTGACAAATTTAAGTTGTAAATAAATTGAGAACATTCCCTGAAAGTTTTAGCCTCTCAGCTCCACTGGTTCCCGAGCTAGCCATTTTTTCGCCAGAAATCCCCACGAGGTCGTACGCGGGAAGCGCGCACACCTGGGAATTGAATTTAAAATCTTTGAGTCCTATGTGGACGGGGAACATAATCCGAAAATTTCAGCTTTCTTGCTTTTCTGGTTCCCAAGTTAACGATTCCCCCGCCAAAACTTTGAGGTGCTCGTACGCGGGGCCTAGACGCGTTTGAGGATTGGTGCAGCGGTCGTGGAGTGGCACTTGGCCGAGGAACCCACTTTCAAAATTTTGACGCCGAAGCCTGCTTGGAATACCCGGACAGACACGCACACACATACACATACACATACACACACACACACATACACATACACACACAGACGCACCCCGGGGTCGTCGCAATACGCATTTTGCAACAACGCATAAAAAGTAGAGGCAAAAATCTCCACATCCCAATTTACATTGGA